ATACAAGTTCAACAAGGCCACAACAAGGCCAAGTGCAAGGTCCTGCACCTGGGTCAGGGCAATCCCAAGCACGGATACAGGCTGGGCGATGAGTGGATTGAGAGCAGCCCTGTGGAGAAGGACTTGGGGGTGCTGGTGGATGAAAAACTGAACATGAGCCAGCAACATGTGGTCGCAGCTCAGAAAGCCAATGGCATCCTGGACTGCATCAACAGAAGCGTGGCCAGCGGGTCGAGGGAGGTGATTCTCCCTCCCTTCTCCCCACCTGCAGTGCTGCGTCCAGCTTTGGGTCCCCCAGTGAAAGAAAGACATGGACCTGCTCGAGCAGGACCAGGGGAGGGCCACAAAGATGCTCAGGGGGCTGGAGCACCTCCCCTGTGAAGACAGGGAGAGAGTTGGGGTTGTTCAGCCTGGAGAAGAGAAGGCTCCGGGGAGACCTTATAGCGGCCTTCCAGTGCTTAAAGGGGGCCTGCAGGGAAGGTGGGGAGGGACTCTTGATCAGGGAGTGTGGTGATGGGATGAGGGGTAAGGGTTTCAAACTGAAAGAGGGGAGATTTAGATCAGATATTAGGAAGAAATTCTTTACTGTGAAGGTGGTGAGACACTGGCACAGGTCGTCCAGAGAAGCTGTGGCTGGCCCCTCCCTGGCAGGGCGCAAGGCCACAGGCTTGATGGGCAACCTGATCTAGCTAAAGATGTCCCTGCTCATTGCAGGGGGGTTGGACTAGGTGACCTTTGGATGTCCCTTCCAGACCAATACATTCTATGATTCTATGATTCTATGATTCAAGCTAGGCAGCAAAAACGAGTGAGCTGCCAGGCCTTATAGGAAAGCAGACTTGCTTGCAAATTTCCTCTGAGCTGTGCTTTGAATCAATGTCTGGAAAACAGATAAAAACATACCAGGTTGGTCAAGTGCCTGGGCTAACAGGCCTACCAACCTGAAATGCTCACTCACTACTGAGGAAGAAACGTAATTATTTTTTTTAATTGACCTTGTGACCAGCCTTTGGCAAGAGTTATGAAATATTATGCTTTTGTCTATGCCCTCTCTGGTTCTCCAGAAACAAAGGAGGAGAGCAGGCTCAGCTTGTAGCTGCATGCACACACAGTGCAGTCAGATTCAACACTTGTTAAATAAGAGACCAAATCAACAGGGAAATATTTGGAAGCATCTGAGTGGTTATAATAGAGCAGGAGGAGAGGAAACAAGATCACTAATGAGAACTCTATGTCCCTTTAGTACCAAGCTAATAGGGTTGTTTGCCTCCCAAGGCAGCATTTTTTAAAGTCATAGCCTCTGTAGAGCAGCTTAAATTCTGTTTAAGTGTGCTTCCTCCCACACCAACATTTATGAGTTTTCTGCTCAGATTGGATGCTGACACCACGCTGTCTCTGCGTACCTGCACGGGATGCTGACAGCGCAGAGGGGGAGAGCTGAGCCCTTCTGCTGGGTAGAAATCCTTCAAATTCAGAAGGGAGATGAGGAACATTTGCCTCCTGAGGAAGGTGCTGCGGTGTGAACAGCACTGCACAGCAGCACTTGTCAGAGGGCACACACAGGGAAGTGTGACCCACAATGGAAGAGCTCAGCCAAGCGGAGTTATGGGAAGGGTACCCTTCCTCCAGGAAAACTGGCCTTAAAAAAAAAAAAATAAAATAAGCCTCTTCCACCACAGTCTAGGTTGAAAGCTAATGAGTTAATCACACAGCTTTGCACAAGGGCAAGGTAAGGGCTCCTGCACGTGCTCAGCACTGCTGGAGGATGCGGGCCCTGTGCTTGCAGTGGGGGACAGGAGGGAACGGCAGTGCAGTGTGGGTGCAGCGGTCTGGAAGGGGGTAAAGCCCAGCAGGCTGAGCCACAAGAGCTTGTCTCCAGGTTCATTTTTAAAATAATTTTTGCATTCAGGGTGACACCCCAATTCAGGTCATTACAACACGTTACACCACATGCTTGCCATGACTTTGAGCTCACCCAGCGACGAGTGGCTCAGCTGAGACAAGCCTGCTCCAGTGCTGGCAAGAGCCTTGTGTGCATTTCCAGCCCCTGCTAACCAGCCCTGGAGCTGCTGTGCTAATGATGGCCGCACAGTTGCTGGCTGTGCTGTGCTTTCCCGAGGAGAGAAAGCATCCCCACCTCCTGTTGCTTATCACTTCGGGGGACCTATTTTTATCTCAGTGGTGTGATGTTTTGGAGCACCAGCAAGGATGCCAATGGGAAGAAGAGAAAAGCACACACTGCATGCCAACACCCTGGCTACAGCACAAGTCTGCAAGCAGAGCCGGTAGCATGTCCTGTCCCGAACAGATTGCTTTTTAAAGCTGTGAGCAACAGCATTCTTCAATTTGTTGCCAGAGCTAGCATCATCCAGTAACTCAGGGGTACTTCAGCCTTTTCATCAGTATTCCTCCAACACTATCACAGTATCAGGTGCGGAGAAACATTTAAATGCTTAAGAGGCAGGAGGGGCCACATCAATAGGACAGGGCTGTTTGCTGTGCTTTAAAAGCAGCAGCAAGCTGGCAGAGTACCTCAACCAAAACCACAGTTCTGGTTATGCTGAGTACATGCATAAGAAATTAAGTAACTGTCCCTAGCCTGAGAAACTCAATCCAAAACATGAAAGATAAAAAAAAAAACAATTCCACAAACGATAAGGGAGAGACAGAACAGACTAGGCAACATACTGAAGTGCACAGGAAACCTGCAGCATCAATGTTAATGGACCCCTGGCTCCTCTACACGAGCCCAGTGCTTCTAGCTACAACAGCCTTTCTTCCCTTGGCTCTGCTCACCAGCCTCCCTCCCTCCTTCCCCTCTCCCTGTGTGTACACACACACATACACTCTTCCCAGGATGAAATCCAGAGAGCTGTGTGCACCGAGATGTTAGAGGACTCAAACTTGTTACCAGGCTCTACCCAGAGCTGCTCCTAAATTGAACCAACTCCACCACCTTCTGCAAACCAAGCGCTGCAGCCTCTGGCACACAACAGTTCCACATGTTTCTGCAGTCACCCTGCATGCATGCCTTCCCAGTTAGCTTTGTGGGCAGCTTCGCTGACTGCTCCTGTGCCAGGGTCTCTGGTGCAATGCCACTTCCCTGCAGCATGCTCTGTTCAGCATCTGAGAAGAGGCACAGCAAGCTTAGAGGCAGTTTAATAAAAAACTCAGGAACAGTCAGCATGGCCAAGCACTTCCCACAATAGGAAGGCAATCATATGAAGGTCAGATAAAGGAGCCAATGGTCAGTATCTGGCTCAAAGAGCCCTCAGGGTTTGAACATTTTGTATGAAGTCATATGTAAAAGCTGTTTGCAATGCTACAGCCTACACCTCTGGGAAAGATTTACAGCTACAGAGCTGAGCAATTCCCTGCATAAACTGCCTGACCTACAGTAAATCCACGAAAGCCATTACAGCCTTCAGAGACAGTCAGTGGTCAGCAGCCAGTTGTGTCAGATCCAAGGGTATGGAAGATCTCCATCCAGCTCCCAGCTTATCTATGGGGATGGTCTGGCTACCATACAAGTGATGACTTGTTTTGTTAACTGGTTTTAGTTTAGAAGAAAGTTCCCCTTTAGTCAGCACCTGTACTAACATTTCTGTTAGGTCAGTGTGGGACTATGAATGGCACCACAAGGGAGAAAGACTGGCAGCTGCAGCACAAAGCAGGAGAGTCCAAGTGCTCATCTGACCTAAGAGTGAAGCATTATCCACAACGTGCTCTTTTCTTTAATATATACTTTAATTTCCTGCTCATAACTGCAGCACACTTTATTCAGGATACAGAAAAAAAAAAAACAAACCCACATTTATTCCTGTTAGCAGAAGTCCTCCATTTTCTGCTGGCAGCAACAGAATAAAATACAGGACAGGCAGAAACATGAAAACTGTCCAGGATTAGCTCTTTCCTCTTTCTCAAGAAGTGCTGTGGGACAATCACAGTTATTCACTAAACGGAGAATTACATACTTGGCTGTATGTGTGCACATGCAGGGAAGGAGGAGGAAGACAAATGTTTTACATCAGCAGTTTCCCCCTGCAACTACTTTAAGTCAAAGTGAAACCTTTCTTTAGAATGACAAATCAGTTTTTTAACATGGGAAAAAGACCTGAAGCTACCTGGTGGCTCTTTGAAATCTCTCAAATCCCATCAGATTAAACAAGTTGAAGTAGTGAGTTTCTCCATTTACCAATGGAACTATGAAGACAAATCCACCTTGACCTGAGGAGCCTCAGTGAGAGGACTCACAGTTATTTTGTTTGGCCTTCACATGCTGCAGCTAAGAAGAGAGCTGCCGCAGATCAAATTTGCCCAAGAAAAAGCCCCCGTGCAAGAACAGGGCATGCAGATGCTAGTGTAACTCAGCCCTAGCCAGGAATGAAGAGACTGATTTAAAGGCTTGCTTATCAGTATGAAGACTGAGCACAGGCTGCAGACAAAACATGATTGAATAGCGCTCTTTAGTGTTACTAAATTATTAGTCTGCCATAAGATTGTGGTGTTGAGCAGAACCCACAGTTTAGCTTGACAGTGCCTTAGTCAGAACTACTTTGCCTTTTATTTACTCAGATGTTCTTACCCACTTGCCTCATGATTTCAAGGAGATTAGTAAGTTCTTGAACAGTGCTCTGAATACAGGAGTTTTATAAAAACAATGGAAGTCATCATAGTTTATCTTGATAAAAAAGTGCCATGAAAGAGAGTTCCAAGCAAGCTACAATGGGAAGTTTCACTGGGATAAGAGATGGGACTCAGAAAGTGCAAGGGAAGAACATCCTGTCCCCCACATTGCCTGTATCTCCCATACGGATTAACTGCATCTATTGCTCTTATAAGTACTGTCCACTCCAGGGACAGCAAGTTGTTAGAACTTTTATCTCTCACTTGGTATATGCTGTTCTCCCCTCTATCCTCCCCACTCCCTTCCCCTAGATGACCCACCAACATCCATATACAGACACCTTCAAGAGCGCTCACCTTTAGTTTTACCTCACCTGACGGGAGTCCTGGCCTCCCACAGAAACAAAGCCAGCAGAAGCCATCCTGACCGTGATCCCTCCAGGGTGACCGAAGAAGTAATTTCTCTCGCGGACTTCATTCGCGAGTACAGGCACTTGTGTCTGCTGCAACCACCTAGCTCTGCTGCAATCACCTAGCTCTGCTGCAATCACCTAGCTCTGCTGCAACCGCCTAGCTCTGCTGTCTGGACAGAAGAATAAAATACTAGATGGAAATGTAAGTTCTGCTTTTAATAGGCAAACATGCAAAATTAGAAGAGCCCCCATCCAGATGCAGTGCAGAGGGAAGAGGATGATAATGTCTCTGCTGTTGGTCAGAAACACTGGTCTCAAGGCAGCATTGTACTCCAGAGGGATGTCTAGCTACATCAGGGCAATGTTGGAGTCACAGCTCGGCATGTCAAAGTGGGGATGCACTGCAATGCTTTTCACCTGTCTCACCTGTGACCAGGGCAGAGAAGGAACAAGCTATCCTCTAAGCACAACCTGAAAGCATACTTGTAAAGGAAGGGGCCAAAAATCCCACAAGCAATGATCGAGCTCAAAATAAGTCATGAAAAGAAACAAACAAGGTGCGAGGACTTCGAACACAAATCCCCCACTTCTCTCTTTTTCAGTTGAGAATATTGGTGGGACAGATTATGTAGACCTCCTGAGCTTAAAGTGAAGGCTGACTGCTTCATTGTGCAAACACGAGCCACTAGGGTTTTGCAGAAGACTAGTGTGAGTTACTTGTGCTTCTTTTCCACATGTATTTCTTCCTCCCCTCATTAGGAAGAAAGAGTCAGCAAGCTTTTTATAGACAGAATGTATTGCTCAGCACCAAGAGAGCAAGATGCTGAGGACACTCAGTCATCTCTGTTAGTTTTTATTACTTTTTAAGGCTAGCAATAAGAACCAGATATAAAACATACTTCTGTAAAATGCAAGTTAGCTGAACAAGACCAGAGTTACTGGATTTCCTTTCTCATTCCTCAAGCTGTGCTACATATCATTTTGCCTTACTGTCAATACTGCTTTATCTGTGCATATAGATCTCTTTTGAGAAATATTGTAGGGGCAAATACACCAAAGACAATATTTTTAATGGTATTGTTAGTTTTTTACCTGTTCTGCTGACTCTCTCAGGGCTCTATCATGGTCTACTACTGTCATAGTCCAGTGGAAGGGTTTATTTGATCTGTGTAATGAAAGCAAACATATTGGAGCTACTTACAGTCAGCCATACAGCCTCCTTATTCAGCAGTCATACATCCCTTCTGTCTCTTCTTTAATTAGTCACTTATTCCCAGGACTGCTGAGCAAGAGCTTTGCACCATGGCAAATGTGTTGCATCAATTCTGGCTTTGCTACAGCTCTGATAGCAGATAGTCCAATTAACTTTAATGGATCTCCTACAAGCAAAACAAAACTCTTGCCATCTTCAAAATCAGTGATCATGAAGGAAGGGCAGGAGGAAGGGCAGAAGGAAGGTTTCATAGAGGACAAGAAGGTGCAAATATAATTTATAGCTCCCCAGCTGCTTGTGCCCCAGACTGGAGGAGCAGGAGGAGTGCACAGCACGGGGAGAGGAGCAGAGGTAGCCCGGGACGTGCTGGTCACACTCACAGCTGCACACAGTGGGCAGCTGTCAGCAGCCACGTAGAGCTGATGACAACCCCACTGTACCGGTAGTCTCCAAGGAGCTTCAGGGCAGTGTGCCATGGCCAACAGTAAGGACAGGCCTCCTCAGCCCCACTGACACGCTTGAAGAGACACTGGGAAGTAAGTGGGGGAAGGCCACAGGTGTCTGTAAGAGAGCCAGAAAAATAGTCAGACTTTCACAGGCAAGTTTCTTGTTTTCCTAGATAACCTCACACAAGCAGACACAATAAAGCCAAAGACACAGGAAAGACCAAATTTGTCTGCTCTGTCTGGAAGTGGTGGGGAGAGGAAAAACAGATACATGAAAGCTTGAATCCTAAGGAGGTGAGCACTTCAGAGAGTAAACAAGGCTCTGGCACTGAAAGTGGGTCTCTCCAGTCCTCTACCCTGTGTCCCTGCTCCCAATAGGAAGTGCATGCAATCAGAATGGAGAGGACGTACCACACGTATGCAGAATGAGAGATGTGGCACCTGCCTATCACTTTTCATCCATACAAGAGGTGCATAAAAGGGGACCTGAGGTCAGAAAGCATCTGCCTCACTACATAATCCTCTTATATGTTAGAGGAAAGCTCCTCAGACCAGATTAACCCAGCAGAATTTAATTTCTTTACCTAAGGGGACAACCTTCAGAGGCAACATATGTGTAATTAAACAGTGCAGTAATTAAATCTGAATATTCTTTTCCTACCTTCCCTGAAAGAGAGAAAATAAGAGCTAGCTCCAACTTGGGTCAATAGCTCTGGCTTGTCTCCTCAAAAAAAAAAAAATCCCCACTCTGGAACGGAAAAGTTATTCATCCCCTCAAGCAGCAGCTGGCACACATTAATGAATGTAGAAAGCGACAATAGCAAACTAGCCCTCAGGATCAAGACTCTCCTCTATAATGAGATTTTTCAAGGGGAATATCAGGCTGATAGAATTAACAAGGCTGCTTGTTTCAGGTAACAGAAGTTAGCCATCTAATTTCTCAGTGAGAAAACAAACAAACAAACTTTATTCATCTCCCTTAACCAGGGAAGGGAGCTCTGCTACAAGTAGCTATTCTGTTTTAAAGTTACCTTGACAGAATGCAGCAGGATTAGCCTACGAAATAAGATGAGGTGTCTAAGAATAGCTGCAGATGACACAGACATTCTTAGACACAGCAAGCATCTCTCCCCTAAACTGAATGAACAAAAGTGAGCTGGGCTCTGAACCCTCTGAAGCTGTTCTCCCCATCACTTTCAAAATATATCAGCATGGACCTAGCACTAGTTTGGGAGTTGAGAGTCCACAGAGATTAGCTGTGGGAATGTACAAGAAGCTGTATTTCTGAGATGAGTAATGTCATCCTGTAAGTACTTGTGGCTTTAGCTAATCTAGGTTTCTAAAAAAAAAACCAAAAACCCTGGAGTCCTGGTTACTTTCTGATGGAAACAAGAACTTTTGCAGAAGAGGCACCTGCAAAGCAATGGTAATCAGTGACACCAGTAAGCAATAGCAGCCAGAATTAATCTACTACAATTATGCTGCAAGTACACAAAAGTAATCCTGATTTTCTCATCATGAAATTACAAGTAATCTTCAACAGACTGTGTGAATGCCCTTCATTGCACAGAAAAACCCACACTTGAGAATTATATTTGCCACCATTGAGGGGTGCAAGCAAAGTCTCTCTTGAATGGTCTACACATACAGGTTGAGGACCTAGAGAACAGCTGTTAGACTTTTCTTCCTATTGAGAGCACTCAGTTTCAACAGCATCTGGAAGTCCCATAATTGCAGCTGGATTGCACTTTATTCCAGAGGAGCTTTCCTGTAGGAATCTGAATTTCCAAAGGTAAAGCTATGCTGGAAAGCATTGAGTGAAACGCCTCGGAATGCTGAAAGCTCTGCAAAGTTTCCTGATCCAAATTTGTCAGCCTTCTTCTCCCCACTTAAATACTCCTTTACAATGGAAACCTGATTTCTTTTCAAAGGAACTGCAGTGTTAATACTTACTCAGCATTTGGCAAGCACTTGCAACTAAATTACCACCACAAAACAGATGGGGAAAAAATAGAAAATCCCTTGTCAATGGCAAACCCAGGACAGCTCAAGCCTCTTACCCAGCTTATTTGGTGTACAGAAAAGAGCACCAGCCCCTCATTGCTTTGCTCTGCCTTTTGGTTCACATACAAGCCTGTGAAGAGGTAGACAGAATGCAATTCAAATTTCTTCACTTCTGAGCACCAGATTGCTTTTCACCTTAAGAATAGATATCAAGCTCTGCTAAAGTGAGTGTGGTGCCTGGAAGCTATTTTTTTAAAAAAAGCTGGAGTGTTACAACGTGCTTTCATTTGGTCCAAGCAGGAGGAACATACGGAAATATAGATATTTGAAAAAGGAAAGTTAAGAACATTTATTTCACTAAAGTTAAAAATTTTTATATTGATAAAACTGAAGATTTAAAGCAAGAAATTTTAAAAAAAAATATTTCCTTTTGAAAGTGTCGGAAAGCAATGCCTCAGGTTAGCAATTTTTCATTAATGAAATTCCAACAGAATTAGTTCAATTCATAAAGAATTCATATCCACTTCAGTGGAATTAGACACCCATCGACAACTGCTCTTTGGCTCTGCCTTACTTAGAACATTTGTCATATTTAGTGACACTTAGAGCAAAGTTGCTCTTGCTTTCCTCCTTTGATAGAGAGATGCAGTGCAAAGGCCTGATCCAGCAGCAAACACTTGTGTGCTCTGCTGGCTCTGCAGCAGAACGTGAGCCAGGGTCCTATATCCAGCCCAGCTGGCCACTCCAGGAGACAGCATGGCCTTGGACCAGGATGTGGAATCTCCTGTGTCAATGGTGCACTTGGCAGCATCGTGATGGGCAAGGCAGACAGGCAAGCCTCAAGGCTGCTGCAGAAGCCCTTACATCACCCTTCCAGTGGTACAGAGTACCATGTTACTAGAGAAGGCAGATTTTGGTTATAAAACATGCCTGTTTCCACACGGATTTCTAATTTACGTCTGAAACAATTCGTGCTCACCCAACTAGTTTTCTTCTTCTTCTTCATCACTATAAACAGAAAATGCATCATAAATACAGCCCAGGCCAAGATCCACAGCAAAGTCATCAAGCTCCAGCTGCACAGTGAACAAGCAAGAGGCATTCACCAAGACTGAAACACTTAACCTTCTTAACCATGGGCTGGAGAAAAGTTAGACTTCAGAAGAATATGGGCATGGCTTCCCTTGGTGAGTGAGTCACATTTTACATCAAAACAATCTGTTGGCAATCTTGGCCTGACTGCTCCCTCCTGCGAGGGGCTACAGACAGGTCTGCAGAGGATCAAGCTGTCCTAAGCCTTAAGGCATTTCGACTGTCATCTTTACTGCAAGACTCAATGCTTTACACTTCTGAACAGTCCCGTATGGAGTGTCATTCCAACACCTTTTCCTTCAAGCATGGAAAGTGGGTGATTTTTCATTTGTTTGTTTTGTTTTTAATCCAGACTGCAAGTTCTCATACCAACAGAGCAGCAGCAACCCAAGCAACACATCTGCACACCCTCAAGCATCCCTCGGTTTAACACTGTTTTTTCCACCCCTTAGCCAAGGCAGCAGGGGAGGAGAGATGTTGCTGCTTTGAACAACTTGTGACAGTAACATGATTCATCGTGGGCTAGGATGAACTTGGTGGGATGCTTGCTGCACACAAGCAGCAACAGGCAATTAAAATAGAGAGATGCTGATACAAGTGGGAACTATTATCAGACAGCCCATGCACAGTGAGAGTGCAGGCAACTTCATATGGACCTAAGGAGTAGCTTGGGGGGGGTTGACACTGCCTTGAGGAAAAGGCTGATTGTGTTGTTTGGAACATGCTCTCTACCATCCCTTTACCCTCAAATCTGTGCTGGACTTCAAGATAAAATATCTTGAAATGAAATTGGTGCCTACAGACTTCAAGGACTCCCAACAGCCACAGCCTTTCCACACACAAGTTCAGAGGTGATGTCTAATTGACAAAATATGCCCTGCAAAGAATCAGTGACCTGGAAACCTTGCAATTTACAGTCTTGCATGTCACAGATGTTTCTGGCAGGATTTTATTAAATTGCTCCCCTGAACAGTTCTTAGTGCAGAGGTTTAAGTGCAGTTTCTCCTTTTATTACCTTTATGACATACTCTGCTGAAGCCTCAATGAGCCAGTGGCACTTCGTGTTCCTGGGATACAAACCAGGGTAATTAGTAGTATCAGTCTTCCCCTCTTCCACTAACATTGCGGCACTCCCACAGCCCAAACCTGCGATTTGCATATGAGAAAGGAGACAATTTAACAGATGGGATTATATGGTACTTTCACTAAAGCCAAATCAACAACTTGATTTTTAAGGAACACTGGCACACTAAGCATACTTATCATTTCAAGGGGGTCGGAAAGGAGAGGAAAGGTGTTTCTTCAGCATCAGCAAGGTCACTTGGTTCAGAGTCCTTACGGACAGCCATGAAGGCGAGCTCAAAGCCATGGCCAGCGTTGCTCCCATCAGAAACAAATGTAACAGTGACCTGGTCCAACTCTGTCAGCAGAGGGGCTAGGAAGATGTCTCCAGAGGATTTACCTGAGGGAGACAAGGAGCTGGTGGTAAGGGTGGGCCGAACATACATTTATTCAGGCAAATCTCGCAGTGGTTCATTAGGCTAGATCCCATCAGGAAGGTCTCATCTCACAATGAGTGGAGAGACTACTTGGCTTTCATTACCTGTAAAATACTTAGAGGAAGTACAGAGAAATTGAGGAGATGGGACTTCATCCAAAGCAGCCACATGAACAACCAAATATTCCTAGAGGATGAATTGCATGACTAAGAATTAACATTGTTACCAAGGCAGCACTGTTAGTGCTAAATTAGAGTGGCAGAGGCAGCCAGCATTTACAGGAAATATTTATTCTCTGTTGGTTCAGTATTAAGCACACCTTACAGAGGGACAACAGGCCACTTTTCTTTGTTTCATCTGTACAGTTACCCAGTAATCTGTGTGCTTGTTACACCGTATAACTATTTTGAACAAAGGAAGAAACAGCCTTTGAGCTGTGTCTCCAATGCATGTGACACTTGCTGGCTATGCTAACAGATTGGAAACTCGTCTGGACATGCATCAGCTAAACAAGGCTAAGCACGCTGTTTATTCTGCTACCCAGGGTCCATAGGAGTAAAACAGGCATGTTTGGGACAAGGTAGAGGGGCCATAGAATTATGTACAGTTGAAAGACTTTTTTGAGGCACCCATCACACTGCACTAGATGCCAGCACAAATGTGAACATGTCCCTCAGTCCCACCTGCCCTGCTTCATTGGAGTGTTATCTCTAGGTCTTCAGCTTCATAGTGCAAGACACAAAAGGCTTCTCAAAAGCCAGCTAGATTTGCTGTTCTTCGTGACAATGAATGACAAGAAATTATACCCAGTAACATTCACTCCTCCAAGGCACCCAGACTTCTGTTCTGCTCTCTTCTGTTCAAATAGAGGGACACACAGTCATGGTCACATCCAACTCGGTACTCTACATCTAATTTGAAGTGTCTTAAGGTGATTTTGTCCTCTGGCACCGTTATATTCCAGGTGCACAGGCTAGAAGCAAGCAATAGTAAAGGCATGTATCTATATGGCTGAGCTGACCCCTTGTCAGTCCCACCGTGGGCTGGGAGTCTCCAGCGACTGCTTTCCTGCAAGCATGCACCAGGAGCTGACAACTGATGTTACCAGCACCACGTGGTGAATTTTATCATCTTGTCCCTCGGCATAAGGCATATCTGGGGAGAGAGTTACCAATAGCAGAGGACTGCTGTGAATTTGCTCAGCACTACGTGGGGACTGACACTTCCTTATAGCAGTGATAGCCGTGTGCTGACACACCGCTGGCCCAGTCCATCTCATTCCCCTGCCTCCTGCAGGAGCCAAAATCTTCTTTGCGTGAGCTGACATTGATAAGGCCAGACTAAAGGATAAAGGGTATGACAGATCTCTAGCCAGCTGCAGCCATTTCATGAGCGTGGCTTGTACAGAATCTGTATTTCAAATAGACTTTCGGTCTTCCTGACTTCCCCCGCAGTGTTTTCCTATCCAGCAAGCGTAGCTGGGGATCTGCATCACAGGGAACACACAGCTGCTGTCATCTGGACACTGCTGAGGCTGGTGTCCAGGCCAGTGGTGGTCAGGACTTCTGAGCCCTGGGAAACATTTCAGTGGGTGCCCCGAGGAAAATTCAGTTTTTGGCTACTACAGCCAAACTAGTTACCTGCTGTCAGGGTAATTATCCTCCAAAGCCTGGGTGACCAAATGCAGCCACTTTCTCCAAAGAGTGGGATACCTTGGGAACTGCACTCCGCTGGTGCAGGGAGAGGGCTTGGCACAGCAGCTAGGGAGAGAAAGGGGTTGTATGGCATGTTGCAGTACAGGTGCTATTGGTCAAGGCACGGGCTATGGCACTGCAGCTGTTTCAAACACACAGTGCTTGACATGCAGCTGACAAATGCCTCAGATGAGAGCACACAATTTCTTTTCCAAAGTCCTACTTACAAATCCCCAAACTTTCAGGAGCTGTCCCACCAACACAGCAGGCTTGCATTCATTCAGCCTGCTAAGAGCTGACGTGGCTACTCCAAGCTTATTTTTAATGAAGCACTACTTTCATGTTGGCCTTCCTTTCATCTTCTATGGGCCTTTGGTCTGTGTGAATACCAATAGCTCTGCTTTGCAAAGGGTAATGCACCCACTTTGTAGCCACGAGGCTTCTGCTCCTTCCAGTTATTGCTCCCAATTAAGAGGCACCTTCTTAGCTGCAGATAGTCCTCCTTTGAAAGCGTAATCATTAAGGATCCCTAGCAAAGCCATAAGAGGTTGGGTATTAGTTAATACCAACACTTCAACTTTGATGGCTATGACAGAAGTAGCACCATCTCTTTAATAACTTGCATTAGCCCTGTAATCAACCGTACAGAAAAATACAAGTGGCCATCAGGGAGTCGCTAGACCTGTGCCCAGCTATAAAAGGCACTTCTGATAAGCCACTAAAACTTCGGCACTTGTAGTGCCCCTCTTCCCATCAAAGTTGTATTTGATGAGGAGATAACCCTGATCATATCTGCATGCCATTTCAGGAGCACAACAGCAGTTCAGGTCTTCAGCTGATGAGTGCTCAAAGCAGGCTTTTATTAGAGCAGGACTGGTATGCAGCACTCAAGGGACACCTTGCAGAGCTGGAAGGGCTGCATTCAGCCAGAAAGAGGGCAGCTTGAGTAGCCTTCTGATTTTCCTTCAGGGGATGAAGGGGTCAGACCTGCTATTGTAACAGCGTTTGTGAAAGGGGACTTACCTGTTCAAACCTTTGGTTTTGGCATCCCAAATTAAAAGATAATATACCTCGGCTGCTGATATAGTGGCTGGAAATTAAACAGAACTGTGGCGGGTGGAGGGGAGGCAGGCAGCAATAGCAGGGAAATTTGGATCCCGATGTTGCTAAACAGACAGGAGACGAAAAAACCTCTCAGTACTCGTACCTACCTGATGTCATATGCTGGGCAATGAAGTCCACAAACACAGACACTCAAGAGAAGATGCTTGGTGAGCCCCAGGCCATGGTGCTTCTCTTGAAGGTATCCCATCCTCTGGCACAACCAACCCCCCAGGACACTGAACCTGCCAGAGTCCAGGTGCCACTGGTCCTCAGACACACAAAGGGGCCTCCAGAGTCACCCTGTCCAAACTCCACTGGGGAGGAAAAGTGCCATTTATTATTCCTGTGCCAGCAGCCCCAACCTTTGATGGCGTTGAATGACAGGCCAGCTTTACCGCAGAAGCCAAGACAACCTTGCCTGTATCTCCCCAGTCACAGGGGCCTGGCACCGTCCCTGCTCATTCAGCTGTTCTCATTTAATCTAAAATGCACCAGTCTAAGCTCTGTTGTTTCACTCCCCTGATCTGACTTGCAGTTTGGCAACCTGCCCTTGCCTGTACGCAAACCACTTTTTTACATGAAGAACATAAAATGAAAGCCATTTCACTAACATCAGCTGCAGCACTGCTTCAAAAATGTTCACACAAGGTATGACAGAGGGCAGGGAGCCTCCCAAGCTACTACTTGGTTAAAAAAAAAAGAATAAATTAATGCAAGTGCACCCCAAGGAGACTAGTGATAGCCTTGTCAGCAGCTTTCCCTAGGGCAGGGCAAGACTGGCCTCACTCACACTGTTAGGACCAGTAGAGAAGAGTTTGGCACTGAGCAGACTCCTCTGTCGCAGCCCATTGCCCAGTGGGACTGTCTGAGAGAAGGTATCAGAAGGCTTGAGCGTGAGGGGACTTCAAGGGAGAGGTGGGAACTGCCTTCTTTCCAGCCTCATGGTAGCATTGCCCATTTGCCCACGCCAAGCTCCCTTGCCCATTGCTGGACTCCTACCACTGAAAGTCCCCCCTGGTTTCAGCAGAGGTGGTGGCACTTGTGTGCAGAGATGGAGGACCTGCTGTTAGCAATGCCCAGGGCAGGTCTAGGCAAGAGGACAATCATGCTTCAGTCTCTGCCCACATCCATACTGCCACCCACACCTCCTGCCTCCCTTACCCTGAAGCTCCTTGTAAAGCCCTTGCTCAGCAAAGTGCCGACAGCACTCTCTGTGCTGTTGCTTCCCTTTCTCCCCACGTTTGCAGATGGACAAGGGCAAACCTGCTGCCCAGCAGGAGCCAGGGCAGATGAGCTATTACCTCGCACACATCCCGGTTCAAGCCTCTCAGCAGCACGCTGCAGGTCTGGCTGTCAATGAGGGGCAGCTCCACCTCCTGCAGGATGGGAGCCAGCACCCCAGCCACTGTGGGAGCAATTAGGCCACGTCCAGTATCTGCAAGACAGCTCACCCCTTCAGCTTAATAATAGCAAACATCGCGCGAGAGGCACATCCACCCCTTCCCCAACACCCTGGCAAGTGCAGCTGAGGGGTCCTGCACCAGTTGCCTGCCTGAGGCAGTGATGTTTTGAAGCAGTGTGGGATCACTAAGCAGAGGCTCCCAGTTAGGCAGGTAATGCATTGGTTTGCTCCCAGCCAGTGCCTCAAAACAGGGCTGGAGCAGGTCATTCCCCTGCACGTTGGACAACAGACATTGCTTTCTAATCCCAAGCATCCTGCTACAGGGCTGGAGACTTTCAGGGGCAGGACAAAGGCCCCAGTGAGCTATTAGTGTGAGACCCCAGCCCTGGCTGAGAGACAGCATGCTTTCTCCTGGGAGGGCTGCTGATGAGTGGGGGACAGGCAAACCACCTCTGTCTCCTCTACTGTGGATGAGCCCCAAACCACTGGAGATGTAGAAAGAAAAAGAAACATTCACAGACATTCCCATCTCCTTTAAAATCTACCAAAATTCAAGCAAGTGCAATTCCTTTGAGGGAACAGCTCTCTGATATCTAGAGGAGAGAGAGTATAAAAAGAGTATACATTTTTATGTACAAGGGAACTATTCCCACTTTCGTACCACCTTGTAAGGGCAGCTCTGCTTGCGAGAGGCTCTGATATGCATACATGAATATGCACAGCAGCACTGCAAAGCGCAGCCTTCCCTAATGTGCTCCAAGGTCCCATGCTGCAGGAAAATGTTGATCTGTACATCCCTACAGAGGTTGGTCCTCTGACAAGCAGAGGGGGCCTGATGAGCGAAGGGGCACTTGAATTTTCCAGCTGGCAGGAGTCACCTTCTCTTGCATTTCTGTCTCTGAAAGGAAGGGGCTCCTTTCCCTTATCCATTACCCTTTACTCCTGCAACTGTGACCAGAAGACCCTGACATTTGAATCATCCTCAGACACCTTTCCCCAGCCACTAGACACACACAGCGCTCCAGCCTGGAAGTCTTCATCACTGTGGGGAAGGCAGGTTGGCTAAACGTTGTCCCCTGCAGAGGAAAGGGTGCACAAACGAGTGCATGAACCCCATGCTTCCAGGATCGTGTCTGATTTACAGGTACAAACTGCATCCTTCAAGTCACACTGTTCCATTTCTCCCCTTCCCAAAACACCACAGTCATATGTGGGTATTTTTAAAATGCAAATACAAACTGAAGTTAGTCACATGTAACTGAATTTATACGTGGCAAATTCAGAGACAGAGATCAGGCAGATTGTTAGCTATGTTTGAATGTTAACTTACGCAGGAGGATACTTGGGAAGGGGACAAAAGCAGAAGGGCAATGGCATGGCAGAGACAAGGAGATCAGGTTGCCTCTCATATAGCATGGGAACAGGCTGGTGCTTGTGAGAAACTCTTTACATCATTCTTCCCAAAGACCAGTGCTGATCAGATCAGAGGAGTTATGCAGGACATGAAAAACTCAAAAGATTCAGCTCAGTTCAATCCAGACTCATACTGGTTAGTTTTTCTTTGATATTGGGAGAAAATTGTCCGCAGTTCTCCTAGCTCCCTTGACAGGACATTGGTGGTGCCCAGCCTTCAGAAGGGCTAAGCGGGGAGCCCTGTAGTTTCCTCAAGGTTGCCCATGTGGCTGAGATGCTGTCAAGCCCAGTTCATGCCTAGAGACACATACCTGTTTAGCCACAGAGTACAGGCACACAGGCAACCCTCAAGCAGCTTTCCTCACACTGCCTGCCAGGATGTCTGAGCCCTGAAATGAACATTTCTTGGGTCTTATTTCCCTTATTTCTGCCATTATGGGCGAATCATAAGGCTATCACTATCCGAGCCAGTGATTCGAGACACGACAGTGACAGAAGGTTATTTTACGTTGGCTGATCCGCCATCTGATGGTCACAGGCAGTCATGGCCAGTTGGCTGTAACCCATCGTAGCTCTATATAACTCAGGGAACTGCCTTTGAAAAGCCTAGGAAGTTAGAGACTTGTGCCACTTCCCTCACACCGAGACCCTAAAATTACCTTTGGAGGCTTTGTCTTTGCCTGCAGAAGTACTTGGAGGGCGCAGGTTTTAATCCAGCCTGCTTCTCAGTGGGCAGGACCCTTGCAGCCCACTGCTAGCTAATAGCCCAGGGCTATGGCCAAAAGGAAGCTGATGGCTTTCCAGCAGCTACCTGAGAGCTAGCATCAGCACCATGGGGCTGAAGAAAACCACACTGGTACAGCTTGTGTGAGGGGAACACAAGGGCACACAGGAATCTGCTGCACGAAGAAAGCACAAGCATAGTCAGACCTTGACAGAGGTATACACTTCTGGGACAATTAATCAAAGCCTGGGACAAGAATTAACCCAACTGTGTTACTTTCATAAGAATTAAAGGCATAACCATGGGGACATTTCTCTAGCATAGAGAGCATGGGAAGGGAAGGAAAAGCAGTGGGTTTTTCTGGACCAGTGCATCAGATGAGGACTTTGATCACATAAAGCACCCTCTCACAGTGGCAGCTTATCCCCTCAGGATCCCACTCACCATACTGGGCATCCTGCAGGTGCAGCAGGGCCAAGTCGCAATCCACATAGCGCAGCTGGTTGAACATGAGGTGGATGATGACACAGGAGACAGGGATGCTCTGCTCCTGCCTGTTTGCCCACTGGAGCTGATGCTCTCCCGCTGTCACCACCAGGCTCTTCAGGAGTTTCCTAGTGGGAAAAAAAAACAGTGCCAAGGTGATGAAGGAAGGGGCTACCACCATAAGGCAAACTGACACTCAGTCTTCAACACTGCAATGTGCTCCTGCCCTGGGAACCAGGGCTGGCCTTTGGTAACACGACTTCTAGCCAGACTGATTTCACATAAGCAGCAATGCAGATTATTCCCTGACCTCCAGCTTTAAAAGCTGGACTTACTTTTAAATGGATAAATATGTTTCTTGTTTCACCTGCTATCCATCAAGCCACTGTTCGTACCTGGGCAGCACAGAGCTGCCAGGAGGGCAGGGAGGTGCCAGCAGATTTCATTGCTGCCAGTTCAGTACAGGGAAAAGGACAGTTTACCTTTCGCCTTGGAACCCCGGTGCCATTTTTGGCCTTGAAAGATCAAGCTCAGCCCTTGTTACCTGCAGTCTGGGATCCTAAAAGGCACATGAGAAGCCATAAAAGCAATGGGAACAGATTGCCAAGTCATTTTGGCCCCATAAATTCTCCTTTCTAATTTTTTTATCAGTGCTTTTAGGAGAGGAGCAGAGGCCTACATCTGAGAGCTTTATGGTGATTTTAGGCAGCTACATGTAGTTTAAATTAACACTAGGCAAGTGTATGCCCATTATGGGTTTTTTGCATGTTTTATAAGCCATATAATGTCACAGTTAAACTTAGAGCAATCCACTCCAGCAGAGTCAAAACACCATTCAGTATTTCTCTTAGCAACCAGGTAGATAGCTACACTATCAGAGCAGAATTACTCAATAAATAGATGGGCCGTAGATCCCATCTTTAGCAAAAGAGTTTACTCCTCTACGGACCCAGCAAGTGCTCTGGGATGCAGAGTGGGACAGTTTTGCACTCACTGAAGACATGAACTGGGTTCATTGATCCACCTGGTATTGGACACTGCGAGAGATGCCCACAGGAGCTGCACAACTCGTCCGTGTTTCAACTGTCAGTGCTTCCCGTTACCAACTCTCACAGCACAAGGTGCAAAACAGCAGAGAGCTTATCTAGAGATCTTTGCAATTAGGGCTGATTAAAGGTCTGCCTGAACTATTACTGAAATGGGAAAAAACCTAGACCTGAAGCAACTGTCTTTTCTCTCCAGACTGTGTTCATTTCAGAGTCCAAGAAATCCCAGGGCTCAGAGAAGAGCTTTGAGACCTATTTATCACTGATTTTTAGCAGTTTTGTAGATTTTTTTTTTTTTTTTTTAAACCCTGCCCTCAATCTCTTCTCTAACCTACATGAAATTGCACCTACTCATGGAAGTCCATCTGTTGTGAATTACCACCACACTATTTTACCCATGCAGCCTTTGGAGGTGGCAAGTCTGGGCAGCCTGGCTTGGTAGTGGCCTGGCAGGCACACACTTTATTATGGCTGCCTGCCCTGAAGTGTGACCCCCAGCATTTTGAATCAAGGTATGGGGGGGTTCAACCTGAGCCTTTGCTTCAATGCTTTCTAGTAAATTAAGATTTTGGGGTGGGTTTTTTTCTCCAGTCAGCGAAACCTTTCCTCTCAATTTCTGATCACTTTCAGCCATAAGTAACAGACCCACTAATGGTACAGCTCAGCTTTAATCCCAGGAGGCTGTTTACTGGAACTGGAAAGTTCCCACACTTCCCAGCAGTGTCTGACACAGGGATTGCCTGGCAATGCAAATGCTGCAGTAATAGGAAGAGCACTGTCAGCGTAACAGCGGAAGAGTAAAAGCACTGGCTAATTTTGCACAGAACAGAGAAACAAGGAGGTGCCTCATTATCAAGGTTAATCTTGCACATTGTAATTTTTATACCATAGCAACTTTCTCATTATTCAACATTAGTCCTCAAAAATGATGCTCAAGTTGAGCAAGAAACAGATGTGAAGTCGACTGGTCTGCAATTACATTATAATGGATTATAAAAGGGCTGGCAAAGGGGCCACTTATATCATTGTCCCTGCCCATTAAGAGGTCTTTAGCATGGCCTGAGAAGCTGGGCTTGCATTAAAAGTACAGAAGCCAACGTGACTGCTAAGAGTAATGGGACAGTTGCCAGGGCTGCTTTTACCAGGAAGTTGCAGCGCTTCTCCTTCCACCTCAGAAATGCTTCTCTGGCTGCTTGCTTAGGTGAGCAGGGTCTTTTAAAGAGAAAGCCCTTTAAAATTAGCGATTTAGACATTTAGAAGAACCGTGGTAGCACGAAGATTTCCACACCCGATCTCCACCCCAGGGCTACCCACATCTCACAGAGCTCCTGAGCACTGAACAGGACATACACACTTGATTTGCAAACTCCCTGAGCAGGGGAGCCCTCTCCCCAGCCTTTGGGGAGAAACACACAGGACACAACAGGAGCAAGTAGAGTGCTGGGGGTTGCACAAGCGTCTCAAGGATCCATGGCTCTGAAGCAACACATCCCACAGACCTGACTGTGGCAGAGCACTGGCCCCAGTCAGCCCCTGGGGGGCCATTTCCCTGCCTAACTGGGGACCACACACCTGGGCCTGGGAGCTCCCCATGTCCTAAAGGGAAGAGAGGTTCAAGAGCAAGTGAGGAGGTGAGGCTGACTTACTGCTCCAGGTTGACCACGCAGTGAGCAGCAGTAATAACCATGTCTTCTCGAACCAGACTGCCACTGCAGAAATGGAAATGTCGCAGTTTGAGGGACACCTTCAAAGAAAGGGTCAGGTACATTTTGAGATGAGGTAACTCCTGTTTCCTCCCAAAATGCAAAATAACAAAGATCAGCCCAGACCAGAAAACAACTTTCTCCTTCCAGTATTAGTGTGTGGGACACCCAGCTGCCTGGAGCCCAGGGGAGTAATTTCCAAGCCATGGCTGTCCCTTGGCAACCACATTCAGCCCCAATGGTGCGTGAGAGGATTGAGACCCTGGAGCATCCCAAAACAGAGGGGACCATACAGATATCTCACTCCTCTTTCTTACTGCTGCAAGAGCTTCCCCATAGGTTGATGCTAGCCAGGCCTCCAGAAGATCCATTCCCCTGATCCCAGCTCCCTAACCTTTCC